ACTATGCCAGCGTTCGTTGTTGAATGGCACACCAGGATGCCATTTGGAGAAGCAGATGGTTGTTACCAAAGTTTATTGCTTTATAGAGCATGTTGGTTTAATGGGTGCAAAGGAAGAAATGACTCTTAAGTAGGAATTAATAAAAGAGGTGAATATATACGTGCTCCTCTGGAAAAAAAATTATTAGATGGCATAACAGTACTTCCTTGAGTGCTATCACAGTGAAAATGACCTTTTTAAAGGGCAGATTTTAAACATCTCAAGGATAATGGCTTATTAGCTGCCTGAAAGCACCAGCTTTCAGAGGTGAGATTGAAAAGGTGATGAGAAGGGCAGCATGGTGGTTGGATATATGGTGGGATTTTCTCTTGAGATTGAAAAACTAGCTCTACTACACTTGATCAAGTCCTTTCTAACTCATGTCTTGGCTGAGTTATTCCAGAGGGCACAATAAATGCTACTGGTGAATCAGTTTTTGTTATTATGTGCCTTAGTTCAGGAAGAAGGGACATCTCCATTAAGTTAATGCCCAGGACTTAGAACACATGGGGCTGTTCTACACTACTTGGGAGATCCATTTAAGTTACTCAGCTTTAGCTATGTAAATAACATAGCTGAAGTTGATGTATTTAGATCTACTTACAGTGTGTCCACGGGAGATGCTCTCCTGTCGGCTCCCCTTGCGCTTCTCGTTGAGGTGGAGAATGAGAATCAACACTGAGAGTGATGCTTCTCGTTGAGGTGGAGAATGAGAATCAACACTGAGAGCGATGGGTAGTTGATTTATTATGTCTATACTAGACTCAATAAATCAACCCCCACTGGATCAACTGCTACCCAACAATCCAGTCACTAGTGTAGACATACCCATGCAAAGAAATAATTGCTGAATGCAGCATATACTACAATTAACATGCAGTTCAGTGCTGCAAGAAGTAGAGCCAAATACTGGAATAAAAATAGATTCAAATGGCTGGATTAAGAAAAGGGCAGGATAAGCACAATAATAGGATAATTTGATTATCTTCTGTCATCAAATGACTAAGTGATAACCAAAATGATGCTATGACCGCTGATAACTAGTAATAGTATTTTTTGTGATATATATTAAACAGAATGATACATCGTCTTTCATGGCACAGGCTAATGCATAAAGGGGTCAGGAATGCAAATAATTTCCTATGCTTGCGTCACACATTTGGCAAGGAATGTTACGGATTCAAGCATTGGACACTTCATTGATGAAGGACGCTGGATTTGATGGACCAGGGGTTTGATGTGATGACAAATCCTTTGTCCAGCTTCTTGATCCAGGCTGTGGGTCTGTCGTCCTCTCATACGAGTCCATTCCTTCTGGCAATAAGGGCTTGTCTATCAAATGTCTGACTTCCAGAGAGTTGTGTTAGCTCCCTACCTTATCTCTTGAACTTGAAGACTACTAAAAATCCCACATATTACTTTAACCTGTGCTGTAACTACAGCTAGCAAATGTTTTCTTGCCAACATTTTTTTTTAAAATGAAAGACAGCTTTTCAATTAAATGAAATTTTTTCCGGAAAATAAAAGTTATTGGAGAAATTTGTGAGGAAAATATTTTCAGGGAAAAATGTAGGTTTTGTTTTTTAAAAACAAAGTTTTTGCTGACAACTATTTATTTGTTTTATTTTACTGAAACCAGCCCATAGAACAACCACAACAAAAAGTTTGTATTTCAATTTCCTTTGAAAAAACAGATTGTTCCTGCATAGAGGCTGGTTCTGCCAGGTAAGTGACCCCAATCCATTTGCAATATTGCACTGCTTGAAGTGCCTGAAGAAAGTAGGCTAGGTTATGATCAGCACTAAATGTATCACTTTCTTGTGAGTGTACTGAGTATTCAGGAAGCCCCACTGACTAATTCTAACACATAATAAAAGTCTAGAACGTGTTAGCCATGTTCAAGTGAACACTAAACAAAATACTAGTTGAGTATTAAACTGTTTTCTTTTCTTAGGGAATGCAGTCGGATTTTTGGTGAAGATGGTCTGACGTTGAAACTCTTTCTTAAAAGGACTGCTCCCTTTTCTATTCTGTGGACTTTGACTAATTACCTGTATTTACTGGCTTTAAAGAAGCTGACAGCCACAGACGTCTCTGCCCTGTTCTGTTGTAACAAAGCATTTGTCTTCTTGCTTTCTTGGATTGTGCTGAAAGACAGGTTCATGGGCGTAAGGGTAATGACTTATATGATTTTCAACCATCTTGACTTTCATAATCAATCTTAAATCCATGATTTAAAGATAGCCATTATGCTAAAAACAATGTATGTATATTTTGAAACATTTCTCATTAACTTTGTGGTACAAATCTAAATCTGAGGACCAGTTAGGGATTTCAGTCTTTTAAGGTAATAGTGTGAGTACAGAGTCCAGCTGAACCATGACACCGAATTTCAGGTGGCAAATTAGGTCCACTAAGAGGATCTTTCATTACCTTGGGTTTAAAGTTCTGAAATATTGTTTGTGATATGGAAAACACTTTTTCACAAGTTTATTTTGAACTTTGTGATAAACTTTTAGGACCTTATTAAAGCCATTTTATTTGTAGTTCTGGGATGATACTGAATTAATCATATTAAAGATTATTCTGTGCTTTTTCAATATACTATGTATTTCTAAAAAACAACAAGTAGTCCTGTAGCATCTTAGAGACTAACAAATATATATATATAGAGAGAGAGTATTGTGAGCTTTTGTGGGCAAAACCCACTTCCTCAAATGAGAGTGGAATAAAAAGGGGGAACCTCCTAGTTTATAACAGAAAAAGAAGGGAGGGGGAGGGAAAAAAAGCTGTCAATTGTAGTGCCAGTGCTAATGAGTCTTCTTTGGACAAAAACTTAGCTCCTGACCCCCCCATCAAACAGGGATTATATGGGACATTTATGCAGGGATGAATTTCACACTGAGGGTATGTCTACATTACAGAATTTTGTTGGGAAAACGGATGAAACCTCCTCTGTTCTTTTGACACTACAGAGTTTTGTTGGGAAAACGGACAGTAAATTGAAAGAACAGAGCAGTTTTTCCGGCATTGGTAATCCTCTTTTTACGAGGAAGAATCCTTTTTCCGAAAAACCTCTTTCGGAAAAAGGCGTGTGTGGACGGGGAAGAGGAAAGTTCTTTCGAAAGAAGAGGAAAAAGGAAAAATCACAGGTGCCCTGATAGCCACTCCGTCCATAGTAATCACAGCCTACATGCGAGATAGCGTCCATTCAGTGTGGATGCTATCTTTTGAAAAAGCAGATCGCTTTTTCTATGCACTTTTGTATGTGGACGCTGTCTTTTTGGAAGATCTCTTCTAGAAAAGCTTCTTCCGAAATAAGCCTGCAATCTAGACATAGCCTGGGTGTAGAAGTCTGATAGAACAGTGTGGATAGGAGTAGAAGTCAGATTTATATGTTTTGTAGCCAGTGTCCTTTCCCCAACCCAACAAAGGCCTAACCCAAGCAGACATTGGAGAAAACTGAGCATATTTCTTTTATAAATTAATATATAATATGCAGGTCTGAGTATAAAGAACGGATCTGGAGCCACCTCTGAATTTTTGCTCAAAAATGTCCAGATTCCTATTGACTTCAATGGGTGTGACAATCCGATCTGGTACCAGTGCAGTCAGGCTGAGTTTAGCCACTAATGTCAAAGTCAGGGCCCAGGTCAGGCATTTAGAACTGGCATGGGCCACCAGAGCAGTTGGATTTGAGTTCCCTCCTGTGCATTCGCTGAGGGACTCCTGCCAGCCATTTTAGAAAACGATAGACACCACTGGTTTGAGACTGATGAAGTTGGGGAGGAAAATGATCCTGAAATGTAGGAGCAGGAGAACCCTAGATTGTGACATCTGACGTGGTGTTTGGAATTGGGGACAGGTATACCGAGAAAAAAAAATCTGCTCTTAGGTTCTGGGGCCTGAGAGGAAAACTTCCTTTTCGGAGAGGGGGCTGGATGGCTTGCCAAACTGGTAACGAGGATACAGACTCCAGATCAGTCTGGCATTAAGCATGTGTGTGTGGCACATGAATAATGCCATCTCTCTTCAGCAAAGCACGTGCTTATGTGTTTTGCCACACTGAGGCCATAGGGATGTTTCAGGTCCAGGTGACCCATTCCAATTCAGACTAGCTCTGCAATGAATTAGACGTTTTGCTCTTTGGTGAGTGTTCCGTTGCACATGTGAACTGAGTTTGGCAGACTCTGCCAGGTTTCCGGCAGACTGGTCCCCATATGTCAGAACCCCGTTACCACTAATCAGTATCCTTTTGAGCACTCTCAGTTAAAAGGCCAAGGATTAAGTTTGCACTGAGAAGTACTTGATCACTAACTTCTAGAGCAAGGATGGGGAACCTTTTTTGGATCAGGGGTCGCTGACCCCTAGGCAAGTGGATTTTGTGTACTCCTGCCCCATGGTGAGATAACGGAGGGCTGGAATGCCAGTGCAGGCTCACCAATGCTGAGGAAGGGGATGCCATGAACCTCAGGGGCTGGATCCAGGCAAGCCAGGGTCCACAGGTCTCCCCACCCCTGTTCTAGAGGTTACCCTTTAAAAATAGAGACGGGACACATTAGGACCAGGACACTGTGGGGGAAACTTCTATCACTACTGTGTGTCAGTTTATCTATCTGTAAAATGGGGATAATAATTCTGACCTCTTTTGTGAAGACCTTTGAGATCTACTAATTAAAAGGGCTAAATAAGAGCTAAGTGGTATTATAAGTAATGTCTGTGCTGTCTCTTTCCATGGCCAGTTGTTGTTATACATCATGGTAGCACTGGTAATGTGCTAAGCATTGTCCTCTCTCCAGAAAGCTTAGCAATGACCTATGCAGGTGCTTGACTTGAAGTATGTGAGTAGTGCCATTAAGGGGAGTTTGGGAGTAATAAATCAGCGTGGGGTTAGGGCCAAAATATATACAATCCACACATGTATATTAGATACTCCATTTTAAAATATGAAATCAACAAACATCAACTATAACCATCTGCCTCGCAAGCTATTTGCAGTTTGTTGGCTAATTCCTTGTAGGCATCATGAAAGGAAGTGCGTCTTGAGGAAGGATTCGAAAAAGGAGAGGGTAGTTTCCTTGCAAATCAGAAAGAGGCTGTCTCAGCTCATACAATAGAGGTTCCTGTAGGAAGCACTAGAAGACTTAAGTTCGATTTCTGCTGCCAAACCCACCCCCACAGCCAAGGCTCTCAGCACTGCAGATAGACAAGGGATTCTTTCAACTACCTGTGAGCCGTGTGCAGGGGGCAGTATGGAAGCCATTGCAGCGAGAGAGGACTTTGCTCTGCAGCGCTGTTATAGTGGCACATTTCGAGAGTTCCAAAACAACAGATGGATTAATGGTGAGCATCCTTTCACACCTGCACTGACTGTGGGGGAAGTAGAACAGATGTGGAAGCAGGGCAGAGAGTGGGCAGGAGGTAGGGAGAGCCGTGGCTTCCACCCCTCGCCACCACCTGCGCTGGCATGGAGGGGTAAGTCGACTCCCCTTGCGTTTCTCGTTGAAGTGGAGAATGAGATTCAACACTGAGAGTGATTGGTAGTTGATTTATTACGTCTATACTAGACTCGATAAATTGACCCCCACTGGATCTATTGCTACTCAACAATCCAGTCAGTAGTGTAGACATACCCATGCAAAGAAATAATTGCTAAATGCAGCATATACTACAGTTAACATGCAGTTCAGTGTTGCAAGAAGTAGAGCCAAATACTGGAATAACTAAGTTGCAGCTTCATGACAGACATGTCCCTTTTAAATGATGAGCAATCCAAGTAAATTAAGTCACAGGCTCACTGGTCTGCTCTTGGACATTGATGCCTCATCCTGCCACTTACTGTGGCCTCGTGCTTACCACATGATCTAGCTTGTCAAAAGTAAGAAATGGGATACCTGTTTAGTAATCTCCATTTAAAAGGAACGCATTTCATGAGGTGCAAACACAACTGATGAGTTCTGCTTAAAAGAGGTCATGACTGTTGGTGAAAATGTATGAAAGTGGGTTTTTTGAGTTTACTTTGTAGCATAAGCAGACTATTGGGTGAGGGAAAGTGTCATCTTTTGCTATAAGGACACGGTATTAATGTGGTAGGTGTAATACGTATTAGGTATGAGAACATATGACTGAAAAAACGAGTGTCAAACAACTGTATGTAAAAGGAGGTGTTTTCACCATTCACATATCACACTATTGTCCCACAGCAGATGCACAAGAATGATTTTTAATGACGTTAGCAATCAGGCTAGCGCATGCCTGGGAAATGACAGAGGAGTGTGAGAAATTCCAGCCTTTTGTACTTGGGCGAGATCTGTGCTGCTTTCACCCCTGAGACACACTGAAACCTGATGTAATTAGGTTACCTGCGAGATAAAGGAACAGAAAAATACCGGCTAAAAATACCAGGCTCTGAGCTCGATTTTACAGAGTACTCTGGTGCCTCAATCATGGCCCAATTTTCAAAAGGACTCAGCGCTCATTGGTCTAACGGGGTGCTGCTGAGAAACGAGCTCTCACAAGAATCTGGCTCCGTAGTGTAGTTACTCTGGGTGAGCTAACAACAGATCATAAAGGACATTCCCTCTTAGTACTGCACACAAAAGTCTCAATCCTTCAGAAACATACTCATATGCTTACCACATCGTGTGCAATCCCATTGGAGTCAAGGGAAATGCTCGCACTGCGTGAAGTGAAGCGTGCATGTAAATTTTGCCATGTGGGCCCTGATTCATTTAAGCTCATGCCTTGGGCCATTCCTATTCAGGAAGGTAGCTGAGTGCACACTTGGACTTAAGCACGTGCTTAAGTCCCCATTGACTTCAGAGTGGAAAGTTAAGCACACACTTAAGTGTTTTTGTCAACAAAAGCCATTAGGGCTACTCTTGAATTTTCAAATTTGGCTTTGTCTGGTTTGAAAGAGAGCCTGCTGCTGGATCACATTGCAGAGACATGGTGGATGAGGTCATTTTTTTTAGTTGAACTAACTTCTGTTTTTGAGAGACAAGCTTTTGAGGATACACCAGGCTCTTCTTCAGGTCTGGGAAAAGTACTCAGAGTGTCTCCGCTAAATACAAGGTGGAACAGATTGTTTATAGCAGGGGGTGGGGAACCTTTTTCAGTCAAGGGCCACTGACCCACAGAAATATTAGTCAGGGGCCACACACAAGCAACCCCC